GATGCACCAGTGACATTTTGTAGAACGGAATACAAAGTTGCAACATCTTGAATGACATTCATGTTGGCAATATCTGGTATAAATATATATCAAAACTGAAATTAGTTTTAAAAGTATGATTATTATTCAAATGGAAGTACGTGATACTACAAATCCTTGGGGCAAAATCAAGACTGACCAAGTGTTACGTGTAAAGCTATCTTCTGTCTCGTCCAGCGTCAAGTCTTGGAATGGATAACATCCCGATATTCCCGGAAATATAACGAGACTTCCATTCGGAAGCACCCAGACCTCCTCAGGATCAAGACCCAAATCGAAAGCTGACTTCATACGCTGGGACTTGTCCCAAAGTGACACGTCACTATTCATGTGATCTGCGTGTTTCTTTGTAATTCGGTTGGAAGGGACTTCACCCGAGGTCATTGCACAGCAAATGGACAACAAATCAAACCAATTTGATGCGATAAGAATAGTCACACGGACCAAACAATTTTTTTTGTCTACATGACAAGTTTTCATTCGCTGGGTACTTGAGAGATCTTGAGAAATTCAGATGCGTGCTATAAGGGCTTGATTTGAACCTTGCATAGTTTTAAGCAACAGCAACCTGAATTTTTAAGTTAAACGATAAAACAAATTCGTTTCACCACTTCCCAGAAGTAGGAAGAAAAAGTCTGATTTAATTTTGGCCTGTTTAAAACTTAGTACTAGCTAGGTGAAACATTGCGCCTTTCACAATTGCGTGACTCGTTTGACTTGGCTTGTTTATTTTTGTAGCCTTTTGTCAAAATAAGAACTAGTCACGCGAGTAAAGATCACGCAAACTTCCGCACAACTCTGCACTTCCGGCGTGCCAATTTCTCGGTATCTGCGACATCAAGCGACAGTAACTCTGCCTACCACCATGCTTGTACTGTATCATGATTGTTGATCGTGCCACAGTTGGTGTCCAGACTCTCTCTTCAGATTCTAGTATCATGGAACAGCGGCATCAATTCTCTATTTTCCAATTGCCCATAATTCACTCTGTTTGCCGCCCAAATTTTGCATAATTTATTGTTGTGAATTGCCCTTGGGAGGTCTGCATATTTTCAAGAGCATTTCACAACAATAGTTTATGCATAATTTGGGGGGCAAACAAAATGAATTATGGGCACTTGGAAAATAGAGAATAGAATGTCTACAGGCTCCCTCGCTTCGATCGCGCTCGCTGGGAGCCTGTTCGTAAGGTCTGGGGAAAACTTAGACATGAACATTTCAAATGGATTTATACAGGGTAGACCTTGTTTACGGTCTCTTCAAATCACACGGCTGATGGGTCCTTCTTCATGGTCTGTAAAGTCCTGCTCAACAACCTTGAATTTTAGACTCTCTTGCTGTTTTATTCAAAGTATTCCTCTTGAATAATCAAGAAACCTTAACTCACGGGACTTAGTTAGGAAACCACGAAGACCACGACTTACATGTTATGAAATAAAGTTGAAACACTGTCTGGAGTTATTTTAAAATTCGACTTCAGTTTGTTATTATCCCATTAGCTTTGAGTTTATCGATCAGTTCCTTGACAGCGTGTTCAATGGCTCCGTGTTTAC